TTTTCTCGCCAATTGCAGGGTAGGACAAGTGAAGCACATCAGTTAAATGCACAACTCACCCTGCTCCAACGTATTTACAAGGATGATTAAGAAGAGATTAGCAACTTGAAAAACAAAACGAAGAGTTGAAACAACAGATGACCTTTGTGGCCTGATTTAGAGTTCCTTGGTGCCCGATAATCAAAACAATTCAGTTTCGCAAAACATGGTAGTTCACCATTATAAACATGAGACCATAACAAATAGTTTACAGTATGCCAAGTTTGCACATGTTTCAAAAATAATTTAATTCCATTGATACTATAATAATTTATCAAAATAGTTTAGTCCTGAAACAAAAATTTAATTTTCTAATAGTTCAGGGTAGGGAACATTTATCAAAATATGTAGCATGCAACTACTCATCTAAAAACGGAATAATGTAATCCTCGAATAGAGTATAAAAGTCCAATCAGTTCCCCCGGCAAATCGTTTTGGAAAATTGATTTTGAATCAAAAAGTACCAAAATTGGATTGCTTTGCCAGATACAGAGTCGCCACCTAAATATTTTGTTTCGGAAAAATTTAGGAAATCCTGACTCATGCCAGAGGCCACATGTTTGTCATCACCAAAGTTGCCTCGGCTTGAGAACTTGGGTACGAGAGGGGAAGGTCCTAAAATGAGCACCCCCGCTCGCCCGATCAAAGATCGGTCTCTACTAGCATGATATGTTGTTTTTAAAACACATGTGTTCTTATTCAAATTATTAGCTAACTTACTATGTGATGCACACAATACACAAGTATAGACTAGATCGCCTAAGTTGGAACAAAACATTTCATGTTTGTTTGAAAATGGTTTGGAAGTTGCTACTCGCAAGTAGGCTAAGTCGCGGATTTGCCACCCTCAAGTGGGCTTAGAAAAACATGATTTTGCCACTTCAAGTGGGCTTTAAACGCACATTTTGATGAACTGTTCCAATTCAAGCAATGAAGCCTTCATCCACGGGCATTCATATAGTTAAACACTTAAGCACATAGCCTCATGGTAAGCATGCTATTATGGCAGTCACTTACACACATGCAAGGATGCTAAAGCATAAACACTCACAGTGTACTCCGAGCAAAAAAAGAAGCTAGTTAGTAATCAATGCATGATCCTAACCATGTTAAGATACCTAATGCAACACATGCAATGATGTAACCAAATAGGCTCGGCTACTTAATCGTGGTATTTGCAACACTTTGATAGCCTGCTTTGAAACACGTATTCAAGGAAGTATTGAAATTGCAATGCAGTTTGAATGATGCGCCGAGCCTCGGTGCATGCAATACAAATGAATGGATGCAAACATGCAAGCATAATGTATGCTAATTGAAAATGTCCCTAATCTAACCATCAAAACCAGATAAATAAAAGGGAGAAAGATGTGGGGTTGGAATACATGCACACACGCGTACATACGCACAGACGCACACACACTTATTACAACATTACGCCCTCGCGAAGGAGGGTCCGAATGAATAAGCTAACTAGCTATGCTAATTAAGCTAACTATTACAAAACGAAACTACTTAACTAACTTATTCTAAATTAATTAAATATTACAAATCAGAATTGAATAACTAGTTACACTAACTAATTAAGTACAACACTTGAATTAACTAGCTATTCTAAGCTAACTAAAGCAATTAAATGGCCTCGAGGGCGAGGGACGCATGCATGCTTAGTTGGTTTCCTTTCGAAAATCCACTGCTTTGCCATTGGACACCTCTATTTGCACTTGCTTGAACACCAACAGTGCTGCCAACTTCCATAACACCTCTGCTCCAACTCAGGAACACACTTGTGCAATTTTCATTTCTAGCCGGTCGGCTACCAATGGTGGCTGTCGACTACAATTGGTGGCCGGTCTGCTGCTATTGTAGCCGGTCGGCCACTACTGGTGGCCGGTTAGCCACCCTTTCCCTGAACTTCTCTTTTTTGCTACAACAGAGAGCAAACAGAGGCAAAGTAGTGTATTCTCAAGGAGTGTATGTACTGCTACCCTTCTTATCATCACACAAGCTCAAAGGAGTATAGCTCTTGGCTCTCAAACCATTAACCAAGCAATTTTCATGCATGATGGCTAAAGAACGAAGCTTGTACAAGTTAATGAGTGCAAAACAAGACTCAAAAGACCACCACCCTATCATGCATGATCAAGGGTGATGGTGACCAAGAAAAGTGGCATGTTTCATCACTTCGAGTATGAAACGTCCCATTTTCCTCATGTTAGAATTAACGTCCGATCCGAACACATGCAATGCAACACGAAAGATGCTTAATCCTGCATCTTTTACTTGTTGATTTTTGTTTACTCATTTTAGATTACCAATTAATTCTTTAATCGATTAGGTTCAAGGTGAGTGTCCTGTAATGGAAGAGGTGTCAACCAAGGGATGATCTAAGGCAAGAGAGAGGTCATGCCGTTGGTTAGTAGAAACCCCCAAAAAAGGATTAAAACCATTAAGCACGAACCTCAATCCCAAGCTTAAACACAACCCGAAGGTTAACCAACCCTCAAAGAAAATGAAAAAGGTGAAGAAATGAGGGAGGTTGCAGAGATGTTAAGTGCTGGAATGGATTGCAAAACAACACTAAAACATGCTATTAACTCAAACAATTCATGTTTAAAGGCCTAAAACACTAAGCTAGTGAAGCCCTTTACACTACAACTATGCAAAAGACTACTCATACAACACAAATAGCCCAAAACAGAGCTAAAACAACCCAAATCAGAGGCAAAAACATGCTGAGATTAAGCTAAGGTAAGCTAGAAAAACATGCTCACATGTTAAGCTATTTAGGCTCACAAACATGACACAAAAGCAACTCTCAAAAGCAATGAAAGATTGAGACAAATGAGCATGTGACAGAGCTATATGTGCTGAAATTACATGTAAAAAGACACTAGAACATGCAACCAACTCAAGCAAATCATGTTTAAAGGCCTAAAACACCAAATTAGTGAAGCCATTTGCACTACAACTATGCAAAACAAGACTCATATGACCAAAGTAGCCCAAAATAGAGCTAAAACAGTCCAAATCAGAGGCAAAAATATGCTGGACATAAGCTAAGTTAAGCTACAAAAACATGCTACCATGTGAAGCTAACTAGGCATGCAAGTAAGACACAAGGAGGGGAGGCTAACCCCTCCAATTTTGGACTTCAAAACATGTTTTCCACCACTGAAATAACTCTGAATTTCAATGGTTTAAAGGGCCAAAAAGTTTGATTTGAAGTTGAGAAAAAATGGCACAAAAGCTTTAATAACAAAAGAGTGAGAAGAGTGAACCACCCCCTAACTTGAAATGGCCTTAAACCAACACTTTTAACCCACAAAAGCAGAGGCTTTTACAGTTGAAAACTAGGCCAAAATAGTTTAAAAAGATGGCAAAACAAGTATGCAAAATAAGCTTAAATAGGGTAAGTTCTATACCTTTGAAGCAAAGCACACAATAGGCACAAATCTGAGCTTAAACCACCTCCTAGAGCTCAAAGGAGGCTCCAAGAGAGCTTCAAGCAACCTGAGCCCAAAGATGAACCACTTTTGTTAAGGGTTGATAGGTTAAATTTTGAAGTATACAAGCTTCTAAGCACAAAAGCTCAAGACAGAGAGAAATTTAGAGAGAGAGGATCGTAGAGAGAGAGAGGTTTTAGAGAGAGAGGCTCCCAAACTTTCTAACCTTGAAAATAATAGAGAAGGGCCTCTATATATAGAAAAATATGGCTTCAGGTAAAAAATATCAAAGAACAGACAGCTGGAGCACTTGGAAGACAGCTGGAGGAAAATATCTACAAAATCTGAGCTTTTTTCATTGGTGGCCGATTGGCCAGAAGTGTGCATTGTCGGTCACCAAAAATCTGCTTCCAACCTGACTTCAAAAGGGCATATCTCCTTTATCTGGACTCCTTTGTAGGTCATTTTTATGCCTAAATTGAAGCCCCAGAAGTCTTCTTTCCAATGGTGGCATCCTCATACCAAAATTTTAAGTGTGCAAAAATTTATGCTCATTTTAGTGAAGACTGCTCATTTCTAGCTCAATTGGATTGATGCCTAACTTCAACTAGCCATATCTCCCTCATTTGGACTCGGCTTTAGGAGATTCTTGCGTTTAAAATAAAGCCCCAGAAGTTTTCTTTCCAATGGCAGAGGCCTCATAGCTGAAATCTAAGTGTACAAAAGGATAGGAATGATTTAGTGAGGTCTGCTTGACTTTCTCTTAACGGTTCATGCCCATCTTTTTCCCTAACTTGGTTTCTTCCCTCCTCTCCTCTCTTCTTCAACCCCAAACCTGTAAATAAGGTGTTTTAAAGATTTTTTCAAAGAGTTCACCTTTCTTTCATTCATTTTCACTTTGTCCTTGCTCGGTTTACCGAAAAGCGCAACATTTAACGAAATGTGAGCCTTGGAACATCGTAGAATCATTTTCAAAAAAATATTTTGAAAGAGAGGGTTTTAAGGTCTAAAATCATTTTGGTCAAAATGGTTTTGGTCCACAAATGGGGTGTGAGGTTGGGATTTGGAGCTCCTCTTGCCGAAGAAATCGAACCTTTACACAAGATAGCCTGCACCATCGAGTAAGCAATTAGTGGCGCCCGCGCCTTAAGGGCGGTCAAAAATGGGTTGTCTACACTTGGATTCAAGGCTTCAAGGCTCATTGTGACTTGCGACTGGGATGCTTTTGAGTTTGGAACCTCGATTTTTAATCTGTAATTTTGTACTTTGGTTCTACACAGGTATTTTCAATCTTTGTTTCAATTTGTGGGCTGTTCAAATTCCGTATACAGATTGGGTTTCTATTTGAGTCAATTCTTGATATTATTGTCTTATTGATTCTTGAATATTTGAGACTTCACATTGCTGTGAGTTGATAGTTACATTGAGTTATCCTAATCTATGAATTGGGTCTGGCATTGAGCTATCTGAAATCTGTATATCTGGACTATTTTGGAAACATATTGGGTTGTTGTTATGGCTAATCGGGGTCGAGGTCATAGGGGTGGTTGTCGTAGGGCTTATGTCCCGAATTTGGGTGATCATGATAGGGGTATTGGGATTCTGTATCCAAGAGATGAGATGGCCAAGATGAGACGACAAATTGTCGTGTTAACCGAGATGGTGCAACGTCTCCTACCTCCTACCAAGGGTAGTGATGGTTTCGATGAAATCAAAGGTGGTACTCATCATTCTTTTGATAATATCTTCTGGGCCCCACGACGGCATCGAACGGATGTGGGTAGGATGGAACACAAATGGGAGAACAATATCAAGATTGAACTTCCCGAATTTCATGGAAGCCTCAATCCCGATGAGTTCATTGATTGGCTCAACACTATTGAGCGGATCTTTGACTATGGAGAGGTCTTTGTTGAAAAAAAAGTTAAGCTTGTGGCTATTTGGTTGAAGGGGAGAGCTTCCGCTTGGTGGGAACAACTTCAACTCAACCGTCGCCGATGTGGAAAGGAGAAAATCCATGATTGTGAGAAAATGAAAAAGAAGTTAAAGGGCCATTTTCTACCATTTAACTACCTCCAAAGTGTTTATCAACGTCTTCACGTTCTCAAGCAAGATGGTAGTGTGAATGAATACACGAAAGCCTTTTATCAACTCATTGCACGGGTTGACTTAAGTGAAAGTGAGGAGTAACGGGTGGCCTGCTATGTGAGCGGCTTGAAATCTTCCATCCAAGATGTTCTTGCCTTGCACACATTATATAGTGTTTCCAAAGCTTCTAATTGGGCCTTAGCCGTGGAGAAGCAACAAAGCCGCCGTGCTTCCCAAATGGGACAATACTCCCAAGGAGGGTTTTGAGGTGGTTTTAGGTCCTTCCACTCCTAGCTTCGCCAAAGATAATCCTCCTTCCAAGTTTGTGGATAAGGGTGCTTCCTCCTCTCAAGCTCCTCGTTCTAATGGTGCTTTCGGAAACCACAATACACCACAAGGTGGAACATTTAAATGCTTTAGGTGTGGTGAACCGGGGCATAGATCTTCTGATTGTCGCAAGAACATGGGCAATAACCGGAACAAGACACTTCTCATTGAAGAAGTTGAGGAGCATGGTGACTTTGAAAATGCTCCAATCTTTGATCGTTTGGGTAATGTGGCAATTGGTGGAGATAGTGATGAAGAAAAGGGTCTTGCTCTTATGTTGAAGAAGACTTTTCTCTCACCAAAACTAGAGAGCCAAGAAGATTGGTTGCATACCAATATATTTTATTCCACTTGCAACATTGCTGGCCGTGTTTGTAACATGATCATTGATAGTGGAAGTTGTGAGAACATAGTTCTCAAGAAGTGGTGGACAAACTTAATCTTCCGGTGGAGGAACATCCCTATCCTAATTCTCCATAGGTTACCAAATGGTGCTTAGTTTCATTTTCTATTCGGCAAAAATACTTTGATGAGGCATGGTGTGATATAGTGCCTATGGATGCTTGTCACATTCTAATTGGGCGACCTTGGCAATATGACCAGCAACCTTTGCATGATGGCAAATGAAACACCTACACCATTGTCAAGAGTGATATCTAGTTTACCCTGCTTCCAATGAAGGAAAAGGTTACTTCCAAGGATATTTCAAGTCATTTCCTAGTGCCACTACGTTGCTTGCTTCCAAGGAGTTTGTGGAAGAAACCCAGGATTTTGGGATTGTATTGGTGTTGGTTCCAGTTGTACACACGAGTGCTTCTAAAGAAAAGGTTGAGGTGGCCACTCTTTTGGAAGAGTATTCTGATGTCTTTCCCCAAGAGCTTCCTCCTGATTTGCCTCTTATGCGTGACATTCAACATCGTATTGATTTGGTTCCCAGGTCAGCGCTTCCAAACAAATCGGCTTATCGCATGTCTCCAAAGGAGAAAGAGGAGTTGCAACGGCAAGTAGAAAAGCTTTTGGCTAAAGGATATATCTGGCCTAGCCATAGCCCTTGTGGTGTTCTGGTGCTTTTGACACCTAAGAAAGATGGCTCTTGGCGTATGTGTGTGGATAGCCGTGCAATCAGCAAGATTACAATCAAGTACCGCTTTCCAATTCCAAGATTGGATGATATGTTGGATTGCCTTGTCGGATCAAAGGTGTTTTCTAAGATTGATCTTAGAAGCGGGTATCATTAAATCCACATCAAGCTTGATGATGAGTGGAAAACGGCCTTTAAAATGCCTCATGGCCTATTTGAGTGGCATGTGATGCCATTTGGGCTTACCAATGCTCCGAGTGCTTTTATGAGAGTGATGACACAAATGTTGCAACTACTTTTGGGAGTGTGTCTCGTGGTCTGCATTGATGATATCTTGATCTATAGTCGAAGTTTGGAAGAACATTTGTGCCATCTTCGGTAAGTCTTTGAGCTTTTGAGGCGAGACAAGTTCTATGACAACACTAAGAAGTGCACCTTTGCTGTGGACCAAGTCATCTTCGTGGGATATGTTGTGTCTTCTCGTGGGGTGCTTATGGATGTGGAAAAGGTCAAAGCAATTGTGGAATGGCCCACTCCTTCTAGTATCCAAGAAGTATGGAGTTTTCATGGTTTGGCTACTTTCTATAGGCGATTTATCCCAACTTTAGTAGCATCGCCGCCCCTTTGACGAACATTCTCAAGCTTCAAGCTTTTGAGTGGAGCAAGGAAGCCGCCGATAGCTTCCCTCTTTTGAAGAAATTGCTTACCGAGGCTCCAATTTTGGCATTACCGGATTTTGACAAGACCTTTGAACTTGATTGTGATGCATCGGGATTGGGTATTGGAGGCATCCTTAGCCAAGAAGGGCGGTCCATTGCTTTCTTTAGTGAAAAGTTGAATGGGGCAAAGCTCAAGTATTCCACTTATGACTTGGAATTTTATGCCATTATCCAAGCCATCAAGCATTGGAGCTACTATCTTGCATACAAAGAGTTTGTGCTCAACACCGATCATGAAGCTCTCAAATACATCATTAGTCAATCCCATCTTAACAAGCGCCATGGAAAATGGGTAGCCTACTTGCAACAATTCACATTCTCTTTGCGCCACAAATTGGGGGTTCTTAATAAGGTATGGTTGAGTAGGCGAACGACTCTCTTGATTGAAATGAAAAATGACGTTGTGGGTTTTGATGAATTTCGCACATTCTATGCAAGTGATCCTTACTTTTCCAAGATCTTTGATGCGTTGCAAATGGAGGATAGGATGGCTTATCCAAGTTACATGATAAGGGATGGATTCCTCTTCCATGGCCTTAAGTTGTGTTCCTAGTTGTTCCTTGAGGGCACATTTGTTGGTTGAGCATCATAAGATGGGGTATTTTGGTAAGGACAAGACCCTTGGGTTACTTCAAGATGTTTATTATTGGTTGGGCATAACCAAGGATGTGCAAAGTCATGTGAAGCGTTGTCAAATTTGTCAAAAGAGCAAGGGAACTGCCACTAATGCGGGGCTATATCTACCTTTACCAGTGTCGAATGCTCCTTGGCGGTGCATTAGTATGGACTTTGTGTTGGGCCTCCCTCCTACTCAAAGGCGGAGTGATTCTATCATGGTAGTGGTGGACCGTTTCTCCAAGATGGCACATTTCATACCTTGCAAGAAGACCATGGATGCTAGGCGGGCGGCAACCTTGCCTTGGCCGCCCGCCGGACCTCTCATCTCTCAACTGTTTCTGCATGACTTCCATTACAGTGAAGGCACAAGCCTTGTTCAGATCAACCTTGCCAATTTCAATTATGTACTTCAGCCTCTTTGTGCTTTCATACACGCCGCAGATCTCTCAACAATGGCAACAACCCTCACTTCTTATCCCTCCTCCAAGCCCAAGACCCAAAATTGGATCTAACCATCATGCAGTTTCTGATGTCCAGCCATCTTCGCAGCTTCTCTCAACCGAGCTCTCATTTCATCTCCTTCCTTGGACACCATAGCTAGTTTCAGAGCCTTAGCTATGTCGTCTCTGCTAAACGACCCATCTTCACTTCTCTCCGCTTCAATCGCCAAACCCTTTTCAACCATCAACCTCGCATTCAAACCCTGATCGATTATCAATGGAAGAACCACCATCGAGTGTCCAAATTGCAGTGTTTCAATCACCGATCCCCAACCTGCGTGAAACAGAGACCCTCCGATTGATGGGTGTTCCAGAATCTCTCTCTGCGGTGCCCGTCCGAAGCTCACTCTCCCTCTCTCCAATGTCCGATCAGTGAATTCAATCGGCACAGAATCGAGATCTTCAATTGCCCAAGTGGGTTTTCTCAGAGCCCACAAAAAAAAATGGAAGCTCCGATTTCTCAAGCCCATGTGAACTTCTAATGTACAAGAATAGTCACCTTCAACCTTACTAATTGCTTCTTTGTTGCCTGCAAATATACCTGAGCCTCCGCGAAAAAGGCCTATTAAGAGCACTACGCCCACTATGATGAGGACAACAGATAACAAAGGAGAAACGCGTGATTTGGGATGAAAAATACCCCCAAATGGACCACTGCCTGCTAAGCGCTGCGATGGAGTTGTTTGCCTCCTTGACATAACTATTAGTGTAAAGAACAGTGTATCTACAAGATCTTTTTACACTTGAGAGCAACGAACCAACATTCGGAGATCTGGAATGAGTTGGGACTCTGGATCTGAGATCTGCTATGGATGGAATGGTGTTTGTTTGTTCTGTTCCTGCACAGTTGAAGAGAGAAGAGAAAGCTGTCTCATAAATTGTGATTATTTGTGATTATACTATCAGGCAGCGCATTACTCTGATGTATCAAAGTAAGACGCCTGCATAATTCGAAGCCGCCGGAGCGCTCTCTCTCTACTCAAGGACACCAATCACTATGTCTACTTTTCAACCCATCATCCACCATTTTTTGCACACCCATACCTCTTTTTTATTTTTAAACCACTCTCCACCAGCACAAAACATGCTCATATGCTTACCCAGCTCTCTCTCCACTTTATCACATAGACTTGTCCCTTCTCTCTCCTCCTATCACGTTTGATTTTCAAAATCAATTATTTTTATTTGTTTTCTCCAAACTATTTTTACACTCTTTTAAATACCCACATTTATTTTTCTTTCCCATCATTTCTTTTAAATTTTTCTTTCCACCACTCTCTTTTAATATTTCTTTTTAGCAATTGCACTCCATTATTTTTATTTCTTTTCTCCACACCACTTTCCTTATTTCCCCCATCTTTCCTTTTTGATTTCAAATATATTTTTATTATTTCTTTCTTTATTTTTCTTTCACATTATTTTTTATCTTTTTCAAATTCCATTCATACCATATAGCTTTGCACACCAAACCATAATTTATTCATCTCAGGGATTAACCCCGATCACAATTTTACACACACACAAAACAAAAAAAAAACAAAAAAAACAACAACAACAACAACAACAACAAACCAAAACACAACACCAAAAGGTTTGTTTTCTTTTCTGCAGACGGCCACCCACCGACCTCACTTCTTCGCCTCTTCCGCCGGTCTTTTCTTCTTGCCTCCGTCCTGGGCGGCCCTTGACGGTGTTGCCTCCGTGTTTCCCACGCTACCGAGCACGTTCACTCCCCCCTGCTCCTCCACTGCAGCATATGGCGGACCTCCAAATCGGAACATCACGGTGGCCTTCCGCTTCAGCTCCTTGTTTTTCGCTTTTAGCACACATATTTCTGCTCGCGCATCCTTATACATGCGCTGGAGCAGAGCCAGTTGGGCATTTAACTGCTGCACCTCATTTGTCCTACTCTGAAACTGGTGCGACAAGTTTGTGACTGCAGTCATGGTCTCCACACATGACTTCAATGTATACTGATTGGCCTCAATATCCGATTGCGCTGCCATTATTTGCTCCACAAACCGCATAGGAAAGGTCAACGGAGCAAAACCAGAGGCGCTTGGTTGAGGTTCAAGGGCAACTGCCCCGGTTATCTCTCTTGTGGACTCGTTGAGGTCGGGAAAGAGAGTGAGCAGACCACGGGAAGAAGAGGCCATGTTATGGGTTGCTGAGTGTTTCAGATGTTACAGAGTGTTTCAGGATTTGCAGTTCTTAGAGAAAAGCTCTCAGAGAACGAAGAGGTTTCAACTGGTTTATTATGCTTCCAAGCCTCAGGCTTCACTTTGGTTTATATAGACAATGACGCAGAGGACGACACGACACTCTGTCGGTCACATGCATCGCCGCGTGTCTGGCGCCCCTTTTGATGGCTCGCCGCTCGAAGCTTTCTGTTGGGCACACCTTTTGATGGCACGCCTTTTGATAGATTGGGCCCGACTTTTGAGGGCTCGATATATATATCCATGTATATCTTTTGGGCAGCCTATATACACACCCATACAGTGTCTTCTACATCGGTCCGGCATGACCTCGTAAACTGTCCCGACATTGATTCCGGTGAGCTCCTACAACGGTTCGGCATGACCCCGTAAACTGTCCCGACATTGATTCCAGTCAGCTTCTACATCGGTCTGACATGACCCCGTAAACTGTCCCAACATTGATCCCAGTCAGCTTCTACAACGGTCCGACATAACCCCGTAAACTGTCCCGACATTGGTTCCGGTCAGCTTCTACATCGGTCCGACATGACCCCGTAAACTGTCCCGACATTGATTCCGGTCAGCTTCTACATCGGTCCGACATGACCCCGTAAACTGTCCCGACATTGATTCTAGTCAGCTTCTACATCGGTCCGACATGACCCCGTAAACTGTCCCGATATTGATTCCGGTTAGCTTCTACATCGGTCCGGCATGACCTCGTAAACTGTCCTGCTACAACGGTCCGACACGACCGTACAGTGTCTCCTATCCACTTTTATTTGTCATTTTCTTTTCCTGTTTTGTTACTCTTTCCAAACTCAAGTTGGCTAGTACCTATCCTCCTTGAGTTTGAGGGGGGCTGTTAGTATATTATTATATGTTAGTGCATATATATATTAGCTGTAAAAGTCTCCTTAGTGTATGCTTTCCCCTTTCGGTGACCACTTTCCCTTTAGGCCATGATGTTGTTTTGTATAGTGTGTATACCACTTAGGCCATTTTCTCCTATATAAAGGAGACCGTGTATAACATTCAATACATCAATCTTAATACATACAATTTATTCTCTCTGTAATTCTCTCTCTATCAATTTATCTTACATGGTATCAGAGCTAGGTTAACAACCTAGTCATTTTGCTTCACCGGCGGGCGGCAGTCTCGCCTTGGCCGCCCGCCGGACCTCTACAC